TGGGGTGATCCACTGCATCTGTGGGGTGATCCACTGCATCTCTGGGGTGATCCACTGCATCTGTGGGGTGATCCACTGCATCTGTGGGGTGATCCACTGCATCTGTGGGGTGATGAGCGTGAGATCCCGTGGGATTGGGACCGTGCTGCATGCTGGATATGCCGGGGGAGAGGCTGTGGAGGGCTGGAATTGCTTGGCTCGCTGCTTTCCATGGGAGCTGCCACAGCTCCGCTCTCTCTCTCTGGGGTCTCTCAGCATTTTCGCATGACCCTGACGGCCTCTTCCCACTTTTTTCCTGGCAGTACCGCGCTTGGATCCGCCGGGATTACGGCAGGAACCCYTTCCAGGACCAGGAGGAGCTGCAGCGCTTGCTGGGCCAGCAGCAGGAGGGGCAGAAGGAGCAGCATCTGGCGAGCAGGGATCGCTCCTGGCACCGCTCGCCCGCTGCCACCTTCCCTCCGCCGTGCCACGCAGGTGGCGCCGGTGGCAGCAGATGGATGAACAGATAAGCAGCAGGCTGTTCCCGGGCAGGCGTTGGCCCCGGGGCTTGGAAAACTCCGTTTTCCCTTTGCCAAGCACCTCCAGGGATTCGTGTCTAGGGCACAAAGCTGCGGGGTCCTGCCGGGGGCTCCGGGGTGGGAGCGAGGGGACAGGACCCAGAGCTTCCCCTCTCGGTGGTGACAGTGTCCCTCGGTGGTGACAGTGTCCCTCGGTGGTGACAGTGTCCCTCTGTGCCCCATTTCCCTCATTCCCAGCGGATTAGGGCCACTTTTCCACCCTCAGAGCAGCAGCCAGCCCCGTTCCTCTCTCCTCATTTTGGGATCTGGGTGCTCCTCCGGCAGGGCACGGGAATGGGGGTGCAGATTTTGGGAACCCCTGGTGGGATGAGTTGGAGAGAGGCCCCCGTGCCCTCTGCTTCCCCGAGGAGGGAGGGATGGATCCCGGGATTTGGGGRTGCTGCTGAGCCCCTGCTGGATCCCAGTGGGGTGGGGAGTGGGGCTGGAGGCTCTTGGGGACTGCCCCTTTTTGTGTGTGGATTTTCCCARCACAGCCTGTCCTCGGCAGGTGAAAATCCAGCATTTTCCTTATCCCAGCGATGATAAAATCCAGTGATTCCAGAGGCTGCCTGTCCCACTGCCCCCATCCCTGGAGCGGTTTGAGGTTTTCCCTGAGCCCCATGTGAACATCCCTGCTTGCAAAAGAAGCCAAAATCTTGGTCGGACTCACTSAACACACGGACTGATTTAACTCTGTACCTCTCCCAAAACCTTTTTAAAACCTAAAACCTGCAGCCTTTCCAATTTTCCATCCCAAACTCTCATCGTGCTTTTCCAGAGCTTTCTTTGGCAGGAATTCCCCCCATCTGCCTCGTCAGKAGGGTCCCATCCCATGGATTCATCCCCTCTATGTGGAAACCTTCAACCCTTCTGTGCCATCTCGGCCTTTTGCTATAAATACCTTATTTGTCTACTCATAAATGTCCGTTCTGCAATTCCTTCTAAGAAAAAAAAAAAGGGATTAAAAACATTTCTAGGAATTCTCCTAATGAAGATTTCTGGGTACTCGTGGTGTGACAGCACCAGGGGTGACTGTCCCAGCTTCTAATAAAGAAGAGAGTGATTCAAATCGTGAGGGTGGCTGGACTTGATTTGTGGCKTTCCTGGTGGGAATACAGAGATGGACTGAAATGACCGCTCTGCTTYCCATTATTCTTGATGAGAACCGCCAGCAAAACGAAAAATTTWAAATATTCAGCGTTTAGCCACGATGTATAGAATTCCACTGGGGGGGGGAAAAAAAGGGTTTTCCACCCATTTTTTTAGGTGGAGGAAACGGTCCCTGTGGCTGTTTTTCCACATGGAAATAATGCCATGGTTTGTGCCCGTGTGGGAAAGCAATTAATGAGATCAAAGCTGYTGATGGAGAGGACCGAAGGGAGGCTGAGCAAACGGGATCGATATTGGATTTAAAGACTCTGTCATCGTTTCAAAAAGCAGAAAATTGGAACTCGCAGGCAGGAAGAGAAAAGAGWAGAAAGTGGGAGTTAATAGGAAGTCATCGGAGATGGGTGATAAGCAGAGATTAGCTTTGCAGGAGGTGTGATAACCGCTCCCGCCCGATGGCCCTGCCCCTCCCGGCTGTCCCGGGATTCCGACATCCCCCGGGGAGCGGCGGCACCGGAGCAAAACTCGGGAAAATCTCCCCGGTTTTGGGGAATCGCAGGGAGCGCTCCCCGGGAGCTGCGGCACGCTCCGTGCCTGACATCGCATCAACGACCGGGTCCAAAAAACTCCCCCCAACCCGAATTTCCCTGGAATTCAGGGTGAATTTCTCCATTTTCCCACTCTGCCCTCCATCAGTGGGAGCTGAGGTGGCTTTAGGAGTTCTGGGAGCTGGGAGGCAAACCCCGAACAGGTAAAACCGGGCTGATTTCCTCCTCCTSCTGCCTTGCCAAGGGAATCTCACGCTTGGCTGTTCACCTCGGCTGTCCCACATCAGCTTTCCCGAAATCCTGGTGCCTCTGGCACGGGCGGAGGGCTCTGTTGGAGCGCGATTGAGCTTCCCGAGGTGCTGCCGACACGGGGAAACCGTTCCCGACAAATTCCTGGCCCTGCTGGCATCCTCACCTTCCCTTCCCAGCAGCGAACAGAGCTGTGAGGCATCTCCCAGCCTGCTCCAAGTGCCACAGAACCCATTTGGARGGGTTTAATATTTTATCCTCCCACGGGCAATTTCGATTTCACCTTTCCAGGCTGCCCATGAGGCTGCAGAGCCAAACTGAAGCTGGGAATGATAAAGTCACCTCGCTCCATTGAAAGGAATCTCTAGGTCTTTGATMTCCMGAGGGGATGGAGAGTTTGATGATGKAAAAACCCTTGAAAATGTCAYMAATTTACCAGAACTTTTACAAAATAGTTTTTTTACAGGGAGGGAGTCCCCATCTGCCAGAGGGAGGTGTTGATGCAAACTCCCTGCRGAGCTTAATTCGTATTTTTGGTCAAAAAAGAGAATTTATCCTCCTGACTGTATCTGATTGCAGATGTTTTTGGCTCTCCRCAGATCTCCCGGGGGAGGGATGCAGTGAGGATCAGTCGGGTGTTTAAAAACAAAGCCCATTACAGCCGTTCTTCATTAGAACTGACAGGGAAGGTTGTGCACCTCAGAGCGTTATTTTTATTAAACCATCTGTGCCCTTCCATACATTTCCCATTTCTCTGTAYTACCCACGTGGGAGTCGTTATGGTTTTCTTCCAAGAAATGTGTGTGTAATCTGGTAATCCCAAAAAAAACCCCTCTGAAGTCAGGCTGCAGATGGTCCTTCACGCTCTGGTGGCCCTGGCTGGGTTTGGTTGGGMTGGGTTGGAGCTGCTGGGCACGGTCAGGGCACCAAATCCATCTTGGGAACAGTGGGAACTGCTGGGGAAGGGAGGGAGAGAGTGATTCAGGATTGGGGGTTGATCCAGAAATGAACTGGGAACTGCCTGAGGAGGGGCTAAACTGGGATCGGGGAGATTGGGACTGGGACTGGACCAATCTGGGATAGGGGAGATG